CCTCCTCCTCCACCGGCCGCTCCGCCCGCCTCTCCGCCCGGCTCTCCGCCCCACGCCCGCCCGGCCGGCCTCCGGAAGCGGCCTCGGCAAGCCCGGCCCTTCCCGGCCGAAAGGAGGAGAGGGAGGGCGGCTTTGGTAGAGGCGCGCTCGGGGTGGCCGCTCCGGCTTCGCTTCGTTCGTTTGTTTGTTTCTCCTTCTTCCTCCTCCTTCCTCTTCCTCTTCCTCCTTTTTCCTCTTCCTCCTCCTTCCTCTTTTTTCCTCCTCCTTCCTCTTCCTCTTCCTCCTTTTTCTTCTTCCTCCTCCTTCTGCCTCCTCCTTCCTCTTCCTCCTCCTTTTTCTTCCTCTTCTGCCTTCTTTCTCCTTCTTCCTCTTCCTCCTTTTTCTTCCTCCTCCTCCTTCCTCTTCCTCTTCTTCTTCCTTTTTCTTCCTCTTCTTCCTCTTCTCCTTTTTCTTCCTCCTCCTCCTTTTTCTTCCTCTTCCTCTTCCTCCTTTTTCTTCCTCTTTCGCCTCCATCCTCCTCCCCCATCCTCCTTTTTCTTCCTCTTCCTCCTTCCTCTTCTTCTTTTTCCTTCTTTCCTCCTTCCTTTTTCTTCCTTCTTCTTCCTCCTCCTCCTTTTTCTTCCTCCTCCTTCCTCTTCCTCCTTTTTCTTCCTCTTCTTCCTCCTCCTTTTTCTTCCTCCTCCTCCTTCTTCCTCTTCCTCCTTTTTCCTCCTCCTTCCTCTTCCTTCTTTTTCTTCCTCTTCTTCCTCCTTTTTCTTCCTCTTCCTCCTCCTCTCTCCTCCTCCTTTTTCTTCCTCCTTCCTCTTCCTCCTTTTTCTTCCTCTTCCTCCTCCTCCTTCCTCCTCCTTTTTCTTCCTCTTCTTCTTCCTCCTCCTTTTTCTTCCTCCTCCTCCTTCCTCCTCCTCCTTTTTCTTCCTCTTCCTCCATCCTCCTCTTTATCCTCCTTTTTCTTCCTTTTTTCCTTCTTCCTCCTTCCTCTCCTCCAACCCGGAATACGTAAGATGGAATAATAGGGTTGGAAGGGACCTTGGAGGTCACCTAGTCCAACCCCCTGCTCTACACAAGAAACCCTATACAATTCCGGATAAATGGCTGTCGGTTCTCTTCTTGAAAACCCCCCACAATGACCGTTCCACTGATTCAACCTGGGGGTTGACCTTTCTTGACTGTGTCACTATTCCTGGAGGAGAACCTTTTCAGACTCAAAAGCTTAAGACCTTGGAATAAAACGTGTCTGCCTGAAAACATCCCACCAGATTCCAGATTTTGGAGCTGGGCCCTTGCAGGAAAGTTGGCTGAACCGTTCAAGTTTCTCCTTTGGCCCAACTAGCAGGGAAACAGCTGTCAAACAGGCCATCTCCTGCATGCTCCTCCACTGGTCCCAAAGGTGTTTATTTCCAGGAGGTCAGTGGACTTCCTTGTTTTTCTTTGAAGGAGTTTCTCTTCTCATCGCAGAAGCTTCTTCAGCTCTGACTGGAGGGTGGGGAACGGAAGTATTTATACTCCTTGCAGACAGCTGGTCATTTGCATTTTTTAGAGAGCCGTTGAGGCCACTTGGAGGTTTGTCTGTGTCCTCAGGGTCACCTGAGTGGTGCAAATGGGTGTGGGGGGTTCTTAGGACTGTGTTCCACACCCATTTGCACCACTCAGGTGACCCTGAGGACACAGACAAACCTCCAAGTGGCCTCAACGACTCTCTAAAAGGATGCAAATGACCAGCTGTCTGCAAGGAGTATAAATCCTCCCGTTTCCCACCATCCAGTCGGAGCTGAAGAAGCTTCTGGGATGGGAAGCGAAACGTCTTCAAAGAAAAACAAGAAAGTCCAATTGCCTCCTGGAAATAAACACCTTTGGGACAGCCATGATCTGGATGACGGAGAATCTCCGTAGATATTCAAGTGGTTTTTTGGGGTCCGGTGTCTTTTTCTACGTCCCAGAACCCCCAGTAATATCTGAGCCAGTTAGCACTGGACTGAGATAAGCAGGTCACGCAAAGGGGATCAGGTCAGAATTGCACAATACACATTTTAAGTCTGCAGAACCCAGCTGGTTTTTGGGGAGGCGTATCTAGGCTGGGTTACCACTAGGTGGCAGCAAACAGATTCCAAAAAATGGTCTACGTCTGCCACCTAGTGGAGGAACCAGTCCCGACACAGCAGCCTTCACCGTGTGCAACTCGGAAAATTGGGTGTCATCAATCAAAAGATGTTGTCTCTTTCCAAAAGTGTGTAGGCCAATGGCCAAAATGGCCTTTGGAGAAAGTTGTCAAACGTGTTAAAATGTGCAAAATGCACAATCCTTCCCCAACTGCGAAACAAATAATAATAATAATGATGATGATGATGATGATGATGATGATGATGATGATGATGATGATGATGATGATGTCCTGGGTAAGGACTTGATAGGTAGACAAAATGCCAAATCCAGTCTGAACATCTGGCTGACTGTGCGATGATCCATAACAATAACAATAACAATAACAATTATCATTATTATTATTATTATTATTATTATTATTATTATTATTATTTAAGACAATCCACGGTTACAGTCTGAAAAGTTAAAATAGAACCCATGACAGGTCAATCAAAATTGTATCTGCTAATCACAATTTGAGCCCAAACTTTATGTTGTTAAGTGGGACATTCGTTAAGTGAGTTTTGCCCCATTTTACGACTTTCCTCGCTNATTATTATTATTATTATTATTATTATTATTATTATTATTATTTAAGACAATCCACGGTTACAGTCTGAAAAGTTAAAATAGAACCCATGACAGGTCAATCAAAATTGTATCTGCTAATCACAATTTGAGCCCAAACTTTATGTTGTTAAGTGGGACATTCGTTAAGTGAGTTTTGCCCCATTTTACGACTTTCCTCGCTACCTTTGTGAATTGAACCACTGCAGTTCTTAAATGAGTAACACGGGTGTTAAATCAGTCCAGCTTCCCGCATTGATTTTGCTTGTCAGAAGGTCGCAAAAGAGGGAAACCACGTGACCCCGGGACACGGCGACCGTCCTTAATACGAGTCAGTTGCCAAGCGTCTGAATTTTGAACGCGTGACCACCGGAGGTGCTGCAACGGACGTTAAGTGTGAAAAACGGTCATAAGTCACTATTTTCAGTGCTGTTGTAACTTTGAGTGGTCACTGAATGTTGTAAGCCCAAAGACATATTTGGCTGTTTCTAAGATTATAAACCTAATGGCCCCTTTTCTGATAATCCAATGACCTTTTTTTTTAATACCCAGATTAATAATGGGACAATAGTAAATAAAGGAATGTTATAAGCACTGAAATGTTGTTTTTATTTTTTGTTTTTTCTTCTTCTCGCAGCTTTTGCCTTTTTCCAACACGTTGTTTCTGTAACAGCCCTCTTCAATTTCTTCTTTTTCTGTTTGGCCTTTTGGCTATCTCTGCAGAAGGAGTCAAGAGGGGGGGAAAAAACAACAACAATTGATGAGAGAAATGGGGGGAAATGGCATTAAATAAATTAAACGCGTGATGAAATTAGAAATCTGGAATTTGCAACTCTTATGGGCTTTCCAACAAGCAACAATTTCTACCCAAAACTCAAATGTTAAGCCATACTGTGGCTGTCCGGTTTGGGTTTAGTGTGTGTTAACCCAGACATAGTGATTTACTGAATAGACCATGGTTATACAACGAAGAGTCACGGATAGAGGAGAATATCTGTAGCCCTGGATTGAACTGTGGGGTCCTTGGTGCTCTCCGAGCTTGGCTGCTTTCTGTCGGACGTTTCATGGCCAAACTAGGTATCATCGCCAGCACATTGATGATGTTACCTAGTACGGTAATGAAACGTCTGCAAGAAAATAACCAAGCTCAGAGAGCACCAAGGACCCCACAGTAAAAAAAAATAAAAAATAGCCTCATCAAGCACTCCCTTCAATGCTGACAGGGCTCCCACTGATTACAGAGAGCAAACCCCACACTCCTTCTAACACTGATGATGTTAGCTAGTTGGGTCATGAAACGTCTGCAAGAAAACAAGCAAGCTCAGAGACCACCGAGGACCCCATTCTTCTTCTCCTCCTCCTCCTCCTCCTCCTCCTTCTTTCCACAAACCCCACACCCTACTAGCACTGATGAGGTTACCTAGTTGGGTCACGAGACGTCTGCGAGAAAACAAGCAAACTCAGAGAGCACCAAAGACCCCATAGTCCTCCTCTTCCTCCTCCTCTTCCTCCTCCTGCTCCTCCTCCTCCCCCCTGCAGACCCCCCTCCCTTCTAGCACTGATGATGTTACCTAGTTGGGTCACAAGACGTCTGAGAGAAAACAAGCAAGCTCAGAGAGCACCAAGGACCCCATAGTCCTCCTCTTCCTCCTCCTGCTCCTCCTTCTTTCCAGAAACCCCACACCCTACTAGCACTGATGAGGTTACCTAGTTGGGTCACGAGACGTCTGCGAGAAAACCACCCAGCTCAGAGAGCACCAAGGATCCAACAATGAAGAGCCCAAAGCAGCCGATCTCATTTTTGCCAGATCTGCAGGCCAACGAATTCCTAGCCTAGCCCCCCAAACTTACTGGTCAGCTCTGCAGATCCTCCGCCGCTTTGGACACGTGGTGCGTTTGTGATTGGCCTCTCCACAAACGAAGCACCCCGAACGGTCTTCTTTGCAAGGGTGACTGGAAAGAGCACAGCGTGCGCAGATGCTACAGTGAACCCAGGCTGCAAACACACAAAGGAAGGATTCACGAAAAGCAGCCTAAAACGTGTTTGAAATTGTTTTGTCCCCAAAAACCAAACCAGCGTGCTGGCTGGGCAAATTTTGGGAAGCTGAAGTCCACAAGTCTTAAAATTGCAAGGTTGGTACAAAAAAAACCACGGGCCTTAAGAGAGATTCAATTGAACAATGTTTTTAAGGTTTTGCGAGAATCTGCAATAAAAGGCTTCAGGAAAAGGCCCAGAGCCAAAGATGACAATCCTTATTTGCTGTTCCCGGATTCTTTGGAAACCATCACGAACCAGGATCAAAAGGAAGGAACGTTTCCTAAGAAGATATCCACTGATCTCAGTTAAAGTATGAAAACTTACCAAGGAGAGAAGCAACCTAGAACTAAGGAGAAACTTCCTGACCGTTAGAACAATTAACCAGTGGAACAACCTGCCTCCAGAAGTGGTGAATGCTCCAACACTGGAAGTTTTTAAGAAGAGACTGGACAGCCATTTGTCTGAAATGGTATAGGGTTTCCTGCCTGAGCAGGGGGTTGGACTAGATGACCTCCAAGGTCCCTTCTGTTATTCTTTTCCTTCCTTCCTTCCTTCCTTCCTTCCTTCCTTCCTTCCTTCCTTCCTTCTTCCCTCCCTCCCTCCCTCCCTTCCTTCCTTCTCTAACACCTGAAGTTTTTAAGAAGAGACTGGACAGCCATTTGTCTGAAATGGTATATATAAGTAGGGGGTTGGACTAGAAGACCTCCAAGGTCCCTTCTGTTATTCTTTTCCTTCCTTCCTTCCTTCCTTCCTTCCTTCCTTCCTTCCTTCCTTCCTTCCTTCCTTCCTTCTTCCCTCCCTCCCTCCCTCCCTTCCTCCCTTCCTTCCTTCTCTAACACCTGAAGTTTTTAAGAAGAGACTGGACAGCCATTTGTCTGAAATGGTATAAGGTTTCTTGCCTGAGCAGGGGGTTGGACTAGATGACCTCCAAGGTCCCTTCCAACTTTTTTTTATTATTATTATTATTATTATTATTATTATTATTATTATTATTATTATTATTATTATTATTATTATTATTATTATTATTATTAAAGGGTGCCTGTTTTGTGGCTAGGCTGAAAGTGGAGTCATCTCGGCCCAAAGCAAAACATTAAAAACTTTTTAACGGCCGCTTGATCTTGCATTCCCCCGATCCCAAACTGAAAAAAGATGTCGTTTAAAACAAACAAACAAACAACAACAAAACTTACAGGGCTTTACACATTTTTTGCAGAGGTTACAGTGAGTCCAACGTCTGCCATCCTATTGCGGGGAAAGAAAGAAATAAAAAAAAAAGATTAACTTTGATCCGGATTAAAAGGGGGGAAAAAAGTATCACTTACAATCAAATTACTACACAACTGAGCTCAAAATTGCAGTTGCCAATCAAGACGCTTGTTGAGTGAGTTTTGCCCCCTTTTTACGACTTTTCTTGCCACGGTTGTTAAGTGAATCACTGCTAGTCATTAAGCGAATCTTGACTTTCCTATCGACGTGGCTTGTCAGAAGGGATATGGCAACCGTCCTAAGTACATGCCAGTTGCCGAGCCTCTGAATTTGGATCACATGACCGCGGAGAGGCTGCAGCGGTCGCTAAGGGTGAAAAACGGTCCGGAGTCACTTTTTTCAGTGCCATCGCCACTTCGAACAGTCACTAAATGACCTCTTGAGGACTAGCGGTGCAGTCCTGCTTTCCAAAGTCAAAGCTCCACTTCCATGACTGCGGATCCCAGGCTTACTTGCTAGATTCTTACGCGACTATTTTATTCTTTCGTTCCCTTTTTTTAACACAAAGCCTGGGTTTCGTATTTTAGATTTGAAAAATGTTTAATAAAACATACTCACTTTGGAAGGGCAGGAACTGCAGATGTCGCAGTGCTGGTTCTGGGCGCTGACGTATCGCTGACAGGCGGGACAAAACCTTGACCGAGAGAAAACAAGGAGAAGGTTTTGCAAAAAAAAAAAAAAAGATGCAGCTAGTCTTGACTAAACAGAGGCTTGGTAGGTCACGTCAGTGGGCTTGTGGGTAATGGTTTTGTTTTTTAAAAAATAATAATTCGTTCTATCCAGAAGTCATTCTAACATTGAACGTTTTTAATTTCATTTTAATTTAATTTTTAAAAAGGGACTGGGCAACCATTTGTTCGAAATGAGCAGGGGGTTGGACTAGAAGACCTCCAAGGTCCCTTCCAACACTTATTATTCTATTCTATTCTATTCTATTCTGTTCTGTTCTGTTCTACTCTACTCTACTCTGTTCTCTATTCTATTCTGTTCTATTTTGTTTTCTATTCTATTCTATTCTATATTCTATTCTACTCTACTGTTTTCTATTCTATTCTATATTCTATTCTATTGTTTTCTATTCTATATTCTATTCTAGTCTATTCTACTCTACTGTTTTCTATTTTATTCTATTCTGTTCTCTATTCTATTCTATTCTATTCTATTCTATTCTATTGTTTTCTATTCTGTTCTGTTCTATTATCTCCTATTCTGTCTCTTCTTATTCTATTCTATCCTATCCTATTCCATTTTCTATCCTATCCCTTCCCATTCCATTCCATATATCCTATCCTATCCTATCCTATTATTATTTTCTATATTCTATATTCTATTCCATTCTATATTCTATTTCTCTATTCCATTCCATTCCATTCTATTCAACACAACGTTTACCTGTAGCCTTCTTCTGCTGGAAGAACTATGGAACTTGGTGATATGTTAGTAAAAATACGAACTGGGGATTGTTTGCGGCCTCTTTTCCCATGCTTATATAGCGCATGATTGTCATAATCAACCTAAAAAATAAAAGCGGGAACAGTTAATGAAAGGTAGGCTGTTAAATCTTCCAGGATACGGGAAGAAAGCTTTAGGTTAATGGTCTCTGGTATTTTCCACCCTTGCTTCTTGGAAGGACACAAGCGCCATGATCAACCAAGCTTCAGGCCTTAACTGATCCAGTTTTTTTATGTAATCCATCACCAATTAACTGCGTGAAGGTAAGAGGACAGGCAGGGGCAGGGGATGGAGTCAAGAGAGGAATCAGCCTGGAATCGTTACGTTCCCACAAGCGATCTAAGCCCAGCCCCTCTTGAATTCCACTGACTCTTTATCTAGTGCTAACTAGAAACTGGACAGCCACTTGTCTGAAATGGTCTAGGCCTAGGGTCTCCTGCTTGAGCAGGGGGTTGGATAAGACTTCCAGCTTTATTCTGATTGACTGATTGATTCATTGACTAAAATGGTCTAGGGTCTCCTGCTTCCAAGATCCCTTCCAGCTCTATTCTGATTGATTGATTGATTGATTGATTGATTGATTGATTGATTGATATGGTCTAGGGTCTCCTGCTTGAGCAGGGGGTTGGACTAGAAGTCCTCCAAGGTCCCTTCCAGCTCTATTCTGATTGATTTGATTTGATTGATTGATTGATTGAAATGGTCTAGGGTCTTCTGCTTCAGCAGGAGATTGGACTAGATGACCTCCAAGGTCCCTTCCAGCTCTATTCTGATTCACTGATTGATTGATTGATTGATTGATTGATTGATTGATTGAAATGATCTAGGGTCTCCTGCCTGAGCAGGGGGTTGGACTAGAAGACCCCCAAGGTCCCTTCCAGCTCTATTCTGATTCATTGATTGATTGATAGATCGATTATGATTTGATTGATTATGACACGTTTGACCCTCCCCTCTCGTGCTCAGCCTGGTCAACTCCTACAGATGATGGATACCATGTTGGGAATTTGAAGGACAAGGTTGGGGAGACATCATCCCAAAGGGGAACCTCGGTTGATTGCGTGACCAGGTGGCACAATAGCTTCATAGTTTTGTTTTGGGACTAAATAAATGTACTTTAGAAGAGATCCATCGCTACCTTCGCTCCTATACTGAGGGTGTTTTTATAGGGATTGGGATCAATTCTCTTACTGGGTCAGTCCAAGATATTGGACTGAGAGTATATTCGGTCCCTCATTTACTCAGATGATCATGTTTTCATGCGTAAGAGGACTGGACAGATGTTGGACTTGAAAAGAAAATGTCCAGTGGTGTGCATACCGCAACTTATCAGAAATGTTTTAAAACAGCTGCATCTTTCCCTTGCCTCATCACACATTTCTCTGAAGAAATGATTACAATTTTTGGGAAAAAGAAAAAGGACAGATTCAGCACAAACCAAAGGAAAGCAATTTATACTCGGAAACTGACAGATTCCAGAAGTCATAAAGAAATTGTCACTCAAAAGGTTTCTATGGAGGACTCTTTGTCCTTACCTGATAATCCAACATGGTGAAACTTGGAAAACATTCAAGAATGCGGGACTCAAAAAAATACGGAAATATCCAAAGGATAGGTAAGTCTTTGCTGGCAGAACCTAATGAGCAGAATATTCACAATATTTAAAAAAAAAATAGATACAAATAAATAAAAATAGATATAAAATCAATACACACAATATAAATAAATTTATATAAATATAAATATAATTCTGCAAGGAACAACACAGCAAACACATTTATTGCCTTTGCAAACAGTTTAGGGCTAAAATGATCTATTTTGCAAATGAAACTTTGCAGCCCGAACTGTGGCATGATAGTTGAAAAACTTTAAATATGTTCTCAGTGAAAGACAGCCATTAAAGCTGTGATCCTTTCCTAGATCATGTCAAAATCCAAGCTTGTCACCTAGACTAGAGTGGAGGAATGAAGAATGGAATGGAATGGAATGGAATGGAATGGAATAGAATAGAATAGAATAGAATAGAATAGAATAGAATAGAATAGAATAGAATAGAATAGAATAGAACAGAATACAGGAATGGAACGGAACAGAACAGAACAGAATAGAATAAGAGATAGAATAGAATAAGAGATAATAGAATAATAGAATGGAATGGAGTGGAGTGGAGTGGGGTGGAGTAGGGTAGAGTAAGAAGAGATAGAATAGAATAAGAGATAATAGAATAGAACAGAAC